CCGTCATCACACAGAAGACTCCTGCTGCCTCCTGCTCTTACCTGCAATGATGTCGTCCATCTGCTCCAGTGCTGCCTCCAGCATGTGACTGGCCTCCGTTTCCATTGTGATGGCAGGAAGCATCAGATCCACAGTACGCTAAGGAAATTAAAAAGAGTACATCACCATAAATACAGAGTTATTTTAATTAGTTGGCTTTTTTTCCCCTGTTTCTGTACTTTACTTGAACATTTTTCTAGGTACTTTTTACTTTTGCTCACTACTTTAAAAACATATCTTATTGTCTCATTACTTCTTCACATATTGATAACATCAGGGCTGGGTCATTAATAACATCTGTGAAATAACTGCAATTTAAAAAAAAAAGTTACATTTTTTAATCGCAGGGGTTTACATGATATTTTGCATGATTAAGACACTAAATTTCTCACTCCAAAACTTTAGGTGATACTAATACACTTTAAAATGCCTTTACACATGCAAAAGAGAGAGAAAGAGGGGTATATCTAGATAAGCAAGCTTTCAGGGTCATGAAAACAATCAAACATCTTTATGTGTGCATGCTTCTGTTTAGCGAAAAGGAAAATCTAAATTAAAATACATTATTGTTGGAAAGAAAGAGAAAATAAAATGCAATTACAATTTCGATTATTGCCAAAATCATTCAGGACTAAAAGGCATGATGTAACAGCTGCAGCAGAACAGAGGGAATATTAAGAGCAGAACAAGAGTAAGTCCATTTGGCAAACTGTGCAGATAAGGGATCAGATTCTGAGACTAAAACATTCCCCCTTTATTAGATTTTAACTTCACAAATCGATTAGGTTTTACTTCAACTTTAACGCTCCCACCAGAGCTCTAAAAGTATTCAGCTGCTCATGTGTGACTTCTGTTCCATGTCATCATGTCGGAAATTCTCTAGCCAGAATAACAAGTTCTAATCCGGACTTAAATCCAGCTACAAATCAGATTTTAGAAACCGGTGTTCATAGATGCTCCTACGGCTGGGAAATATCGCCTTAAAATCATGTTTAACTGCATAGCTGTGAGTGCATACAACCAGTGTTGTGCCTGAACGCGTTCATTGAACGAAAGTTCATGAACTCGTTCATATTTTGGGCGAACGTGAACTGAACGTACTGCATTACTGCCGGATGAACGCTATTGTGAACTCGTTCATTCTGGTGTCTGTGAACGGCACGCTCTCTCAGTTCAACTCCGTTCAATAGGTTGCCAGATTTCTATAAAGCCCTCCAGGCGAAACCCCGGCTAAATCACACCGTAAACAGGCCTTAATATGTAGCGGGAAAAACACCCAATCTGGCAACAGCAGCTACCAGCGTCGTAGCCTACAGCCGCGTGCGTCATCAAAACAAAATGCAGCGTGGAAGCCACAGCAGCATGGAGGCGACCGTGGAGGCGACAAAGCAGCAGTATGATCACTTAAAACAGGTTTATGACCAGGTGGTCGGTGAGGATGATGGCAACAATCTGACATTTCTCTGCAAACTTTGCCCGCCGGCTTTCAGTAAAAAAAATCCGCACTTAAACCTGCCTGGTATAATTTTCCAGGATTCCTTTTTAGTATGTACTGAAATGGGATTTCAAATGGAAAAAATAATTACAATTAAAAAAATCATTTGCACCTTAAAGACTACTTTCCTGTTTTTCTTTTAATAATTCCTCATAAAAAAGACCATTCAAGCAGCACATTTTTCCTGATGTTTTTGAGAATATACTGTAGGGGTGAAAGCTGCAGCTGCTACTAGTGTGAAGTGAATGGACAGCAACAAAGCGTTAAAGCAACAATGGGGAAATGCTGTCCCCTCAATGCTAATGTAAACCCTGGTTGGATAAGGATTCAAAACTGGATATGAAGATGAAATCTGACGCACAGTTTCAGAGTTACAACTGATAAAATAATTGCTGTCTGTGGTTCTACAGTAGGCTATGGTGTAATTGAGCAATATATGAAAAAAAAAAAGAACTATGAACTAGTTCATTTTTTGGAACTGTGAACTTAGTTCAAAATTTTGAATTATGAACTATGAACTGAACTAGTTCATTTTAAAATGTGTGAACTGAACTTTGAACTAGTTCACATAGAAAGAGAACTTTCCCAACACTGCATATCACATCAATCATATCCCGTCAATCCATTTCGAAATTGGAAATTTAATGTTTAGACTTTTAAATTTACTATGACCACAAATTGATCAAACTAACCATAAATGATGTGATAAATGCGCATCCCTAAATGTTCCCTATAAATCTGACTGAGCTTTAGAGTCTTGATGAGACAACAAAAGTTTTCATAGCATCACTGGAGCTTTAATTGAAGCAAAATGCTGATCCACCAACTATTGAAAGGATTATTTTATTGAATTGAAAACACCTCTGTTTTTTTTTTTTTTGTAAAGAATTCATTGTAAGTGATTATTTTTGTGCAAAAAAAAAAAAAATGCTGTAAAGATCACTATTCAACATGTCCACCACCAGTCAGCTGCTCCGGTGATAATTGGTCATTTTCAAACATAATTTTTTTGAGTGTTGCATAAATTCAGTTTGCAGGAGACACCTGTTAACAACCATATGACTGATATCCATTAGATAATATCTTGCTTTCATCCAGCATGAAAGACCGGATATTGTTTGGTTAAATCCAATTCTAATATAATATAATACTGCAACTTTGATAACTCACCAACAGATGTCAGTAAAGTTCATTTCTCTACAAATATCTATTCCATTTTAAGAAAACTCTCCATATTCAATATGTTGGATGTCTATTTTAATACAGGGCTGCATATATGCATAGAAGATGCATTTAAGCTGCAGCATCAGTACCATCACTTCTCAGTACCTACGTGTTTATTTCAGTAGGAAATATTCTCCGTCTGCCATGGCTGCTTTTTGGCTTCTCCTTCAACTTCTGCCCTGCTGTCTTTTCCTGCCCTGGAAGCCCTCCCATCCATCACTGCCTGCCACTCATGCCTTTTCTGTCATCTCTCCTTCATGTCTCCATCATGCTGTCATGCCAACTTACTAACAAATAGGCAACAAATGCAAACTGAGGGGAAGGGCGATGATGTAATCTGCAGATGCCTTGAGAGAATAAACCCCCTACAAAGCGGACTAATGTTCATCTGAATTAGCAGCAACTTCCACTCCATTACGACGGCTGATGCTCATAATAAAACAGCATATAGAAAGAAGATTGCTTGTTTCAGTCTAGGGTTTTTAAGCCAGAACACATCAGCTTCTATCTGCACAGATATATGATTTATGTAATTCTGGTAATTCATTTATTAAATATAATAAAGGAGAGAGTGTGATGGCGTGATCCAGACAGAATAACAGAATGACTAACAGCACAGTGAGGAGAGTTGACCTCCACACACAATGTGGCCTTGTTCTTACAGCATGAGTCTGTGTTTGAGGAAGTAAGCAAATTAGTTTTCTTGTGGGACTGCATACGCAGGAGGGTGCTGATGCAGGATTTACTGTCCTGCTTTAGTACAGAGCTGACAGGACAAACTGCAAAGAGCAACAATCCCATCCAATGTCTCGCAAACTGCACCACAGAATACATGACTATACGCCAGAATCTCATGTTTTTCTGTGTTTTTTGAGCATCGTTTACTGTTAGGGCTGTTAATTACTTCTATTTTATACCTATTTGTATTACATTTGGCATTTCTTCATTAAGCTCTTGCAATACTGCACTTAACTGTGCTAAAAAAAGGGAATATTTATCAGTTTATGACTGCATAAATAGAAATCTAAGCTAGTAATTTTTGTTATAATAATTGTATTTCCTCATTGGAAGAGGATAATTAAGGTTTAAAATTAGAAAGAAAACAATAAGTGTATTTCAAGTGCATAATACATAATTAACTTATTTAAAATCTTCATTTAAATATTGGAAGGTTTTATTTATGTGCTCAAATTAAGGAAAATATTGAAATGTTTGGTGTTATTTTTAGATCAGTTTTTGCAGTGCACATCAGAAAACTCTAATAAGATCTCTTGAAACGTCATACGTCTCCACTGAGCCCAAAGATCAAATTTAATATGCCCATTACGCATAAAACTTGGTTAGAATTGTAGGAGTAAAGCATTCGTCTCCATTTCAATGACTTCTCGCTCGCACATAAAAACGGTATAATTTCTACATGAGAACACGGCTTGTTGGGGTTAAAATTTCATTTTATTATAAGCAATAGAAGCATGGTTACTAATCTCTAATACTAAGGAAATTAGGCTGGTTTACTTTCAACTAAGCCTCATTCAGGCATCACTTTCTAGACAAGCCTCTAGAAAAAAAATAGCCAATGAAAGAAAAATTTCAACATTTTGTTCCACTATGGCTTTTGCTCACCTGCATCAGCCCTTCTTGTTCTAGGTAAACTACTTCTATTTTAGGCTGCCTGTGCTTGGTGCAACTGTTTTTTTGTTGTTTTTTTTTTTCATGTGAAATTAAAGCATTTTAATAGATTTCAGCAAAGGCTTTGATAATGTTTGGGGAAAAAATGCGTGAAGAATAAACTGCACGGCCAGCTTCACAAAAGGAAGCCACCTTGATGAGATTGTAATTCTTAACGGATTCAGAATAACCGATTTAACATATATACGATGAATGGTGAAAGTTTGTACTGACAAACCTTTGTTAGTGAAACTTTGGTGAAAAAGAAAGTTATTCATGTTTAGATCAGTTTTTAATCAGATTTTAAAGCTGCAAATACAAAACGAAATGGCAAAACAAAAAAATACGTACGAAATGGAAAATTTAAACCAATATAAACCTGCAAAAAACATCCATCCTTCCTTATACACTAGGGGTTGAGATGTTGGACTAAATCTGTTGTGTTAGTTGAAAATGATTTAGTCTAAAACTAGCACACATGCTTAAATCAGTGCATGAGTGAAAATTCAAAACCAGAATAAACTTCCAAAATAACCAGAGGCTAACATGACACCTTTTTTTAGAAGTTCATCATTTTTTCAACTTGGATAAAAAGATAATTTAAGTTTACTTTAAGTATTTTGTCTTTTTGAGGAAGCCTTATTTTAGGAAAACAAAAAGGAAAAAGGTAGCTACTAGAGCACCTTCTAATGAAGTGAGACGTCTTTTCCCA